GTCAGCTGCCCCTGATTGTTAGTTTACACATCTAATTACAATCTTTGTGAATGCACTATGACGTTACTGCGGCTACCTGTCCACTACCCTGAGGCGCCGCGCTATCCAGTTCCTCTCCGGAGGTGCGTCAACAACCCACGTAAACTGTAAACAGGGTCTTGCATCGTTTCTTTCTTTTCCTGACTGCTTTGCGTTCAGTTGTCACCTTTTGCCGTGTTCATTCGCTTCAACTTGTTCCGTGCGTTTTTGCTTGACGGACAAGCGGTTGTCATCGCGCCGCCGTTTCTCGGCCAGCTCGAAACTACGCCCGCTTTTGTTTATGACGTTCGTGCCGCGAATTTAACGAGCTGCCAGTTCTGCGGGGAGGAGGCGTAGTACTACTGACGACGGCGCAGATGTTAAGCAGCACGATTGCGTCGTGCTTTTTGTGCATGCATTACTAGCGACGCAACGATATCTCGAGACACCCATTGCGCGCGTCCATGTTTTCATGTCTTCTACGTGATTTTACGGCCGCCGCTTTTGTTTTTAAAAGGGATGCCGATTCGGCCGAGGATTCGCATAATCACGGGAACTAGAAGCGTGTTGTTGCGGAATGTAGTTTGCTTTGGGCTACGTGATCACAACGCCAAGATAGGGCACCCGTTCCTAGCCACGCGCATTATTGTTGACAGTTGACTGGAGGCGCCTTAGGAGGCGTCCAGCCCAGGTTGTGAATCAGGGCGAATCGGCTCCGTGATACAGTTGTGTGGCTTAGATTGTCACCGATTATGAATCGGAGCGTGCGACTGCTTTCCGGAATGGGCTTTCCGTATGCTGTTAGGTAGGACCCACAGAGGTTTAAATGCAACTGTAAACCCATTTGCTAGTTGTCTGAGGCTACCAGATTAACTCGAACAACTCAACGGCTTCCGCTGGCTTTCTGTGCGTTTCTCTTCCCTTAATAATAAATAGCTGTATTGACCAGCCATTTTTAATAGCAGTCATGATGTTTAGATTGATGGAATTGTTCTGGCTCTTCCCACATAGAGGTGCTGGCTTCACAGTATGGCCAGGCTTGCCTCGTGCGAAGCTTATCCTGTCAAAGTTGAGAATCTTTGTTTGCAAGGCAAGCTAAACAGTTGGCCGTTTCTAAAACTAACACGGACATAATGTCCAATCATTTTTGGGGCATTTTCATTGGCTATTCTTACTGTTATCTCTTTATTGGCTTTGGAGCAGAGATAACTTAACGAACAGGCGTTCATGAAAGACTGGCAGAAATAAAAAGACCTGATGCAAGCTCTTTATCAGTTTGTTATGGCCTTTGCGAACTATGGTTTGTGTGCTTTTGAGCAAACACACATGCTTGACTTGTGTCATAGCAAGAGATGCAAGATATCGCAGTGTCTGTATCTGTTATGGAAACAATATCGCAATCATCTACTTTCAACGTAAGTTGAAACAAAAAATGTGCCGTTGGGAACGGCATGGAAGTGGAGCTGAAAAAATGCCACGACTAACGACTAAGGATATATTTCGTGTACTGTGACACATTGGTTACAGTCGCTGTAACCTGTGGTAACATGGATGCTTCGAACAGTATTGTCACACGGCTTTAATGTCCATCTGCTTTACTGTTAAGAACAACACATCGGTTGCCACGGGCAACAGTAATTATGCGTTCATATCCTGACAACGTAAAATTACAGGCGAGCATGATAAAGTATCAGAGTAGCATATCAGACTTGCATATCTGACATGTCTCCTGAATTATTTTGGGGGACTCCCAGATTTTGACCCCTTGTTATGGTTTGCAGGAAAATCTCCATGAAATTGAAATTTCTGTGCCTGATCTGGGCGCACTGACAAATTTGCGACCTAGTCTTATGAGTGCTTCTTGCGCACCCTTTGCGTATAGCATTACAAAAACCAATTTAGGAGCCGTTCTTGTAAAGTTACGTTAGAATTTTGTTTGATGTTGATGTCCAAGTTAGGAAAATGCCGTGCTGCATTTAAGCCATTATAAGACCACAACGCTGATGTTTATGCTCAAAGGACAGTACAGGATTCTCTCCCCACATTTCCCAGGTGTGTATTTGCAAAAGCAAGGGGGGGGGGGGCGTGAGGTAAATTTGAGTGTCTACCCCCCTCCTTAATTTCAGGCACTGCGCCGTGCTCCCGACCGGGTTGCAGAAATTAGGTGCCTTTCCTCATCTTCTAACCACTATCACCACCTTCATTTCCACCTGTTTTCGAACTCTTTCTGGTTCAGATGAGCTTGAACTTGATAGGTTTAAAAATGGCTTGTCGCCGACAAGCCCAGGATTCAGAGTGCATTAAATATTGAAGAGCAGTGCACATAAATATGCTACCTGCACACCTTTGAAGGCCGTCTCTCTGCACGCTTACAGGCTGTAAGTTTTTTGCGTGCAGGTACTACCACTAAAATCTGTGTGCTATAGAAGCTTCGTTTAAACACTCATTTGGGGCTCTTTGTCCTTGCTCACCCCATTATTCACAAATGCTCCTCGACTTGCATTTCGTTCTTTACTTGACAGAGTTGAGCACAGTGCCGCTTCTCCACCTAAAATGAAGCTGCGCTTCCCAAGAATCACTGCAGATTGTTGCTGATATGCAGTAACTCGCTGTGCCTATAGACAGCGCTTCCATCGACTTTCTAAAGTCGATCGAGGTGAAGCGTTGAGTGAAGGGATGTTTTATTTAGAATACGGGGTAAGTTATGCTAAAAAAAAAAGAAGTCTGCTTCAGAAGCGATACTCCTTTATGTGCAGTATGAAAAAGAGATGTTTTCACTCCTCCCACGGACTTTATGACGAAGAAATTGCAAATAATATGGGGGCTGAAATAAGGAATATCTCATAACCTACCACTCCATGAGCTTTCCCTCCTGAATGAATAGCAAGCACTGCTGTGCCCTTTTAGCCGAGGGCGACAGCTGTTTGCACGGACAGCCACTGTGGCTTCCATCGCCTCCATTCTCTTCTTTTGCGTCTGTGCGAGGCACTGCTCTTCTTTGTAATCTCGGAGTACAATGCTGGAAAATGCTTTATAGTCTACAAAAGAAGAAAAAGCAAAAACAAGACATGCAGCAGCGGCATAAATAGACACAAAAAACAACGAAAGCATGTTGCTTCTTTTAACCCATTGTCTTGAGACGTTGCTGACGGAAAGAGCCCAGATTACTTGGGTGGTGAGCAATCGAAGCTTGTGTGCAGTTAGTGTGCTCACAGAAGTCGTTATGTTTCCTACTTTGTTTTGTTTGTTTACCTTCCTGTGGTCTAGTACAGTTAAATTAGCATTACTTACATATGTCGTGTGTGACACTTCTGTGTCTCTGTGTGGGATCGTTAAGAAAGTAAGCTGTAAGGTTAAACCCTGCTGAGCAGTCACATCACGTTTAGAAAAAAAAGAAAAAAGAAAAGACTTGTCTAGGATCATGAAAAAAAAAAAAAAAATGATCCCCTGACGATAGCTTAGTCCTTGCTGAAACGTTGGAAGAAATAAAAATTTCCATACGTTTGCCTCTTATTCTCATTGTTTATACATGTGTAAACGTAGGTTGGCTTATTGTTGTCATAACGTTACAACCAAAGTGAGAAACATCAAAAGAAAAAAAAAAGCAAGGTGGTTTGTGGAAATGTATACGTGTGCATGGGCGAAAGGCGTGTCAATAATAGAACGGCTCCGCATAATGCCGAAACATTCAAGTTACACATCATGTACCTTGTGGCTCTGTGTCATTGTATGGCAAGTGCACCATTGGAGGTAAACAAAGCAAATTGTGGCTGCATACCATTGCATTGGCCTGCACAGAGCGAGAGGTAGATAAGTGGAGAACCATCTCACTTGAGAAATTTTAGCGGGTATGATAAACCATGGAGCAGCGCTATGTGCTTTTTTTGTGAGCGTTTTGGATGACACATTCATTGTTTGTCCCCTACATACTGTGCTTAAGGTGTATGCTATAGCAACAAACTAGTAGGAAATTAGTTGATCCCTGTGTGTTGCTTTTCTGCTAGTCTTTTGCATGCAGTTTGCTGTGAATTACCTATTAGCATACATGAGTAATTGTTGAACAGTGAGTTTAGTTGTAGGTCTTGGATGGTGCCAGAAAATATCTTCGTAGAACTGAAATTCATTCTGCACTAATTTTAAATGAACTGACAACTGGCCAGAATGGTTATCAAGTTTCGGTGGAAATGAAAAGACCATAAGTTATAATGACAGATTCAAGCATTCTTTTCATTCAGCCTAGCAGGATTTTATATTTTTAAATTGTGTTTATAATTAACAAAAACGTGTATGTCACGCTGCCAAGTGGAAGAGCCTTGAAGCTTGATTCTGGAGATGATTACCTTGCTGAACGAAATTTGCCTAGTCTGATGCTGTCATGTTCGCCATAAATAGTCCTCAAAAATAAAGTATAAAGATTATCGTGCGGCCCCGCTCAGGTGCTGCAAGCGCATGCATGGCACTTGAACACCAGTCGCGCTCGCGGTCACTGTCTGCTGCATGTGGCGTCACACATATATACGACTCGATATTCGCCGTAGGCAGAAAAATTCTGATTACAAATGTCTCAAGGCGTTTTCCACGCACCATCCAGTTATTAGACAGTCCTACCAACTTTCCATTGCGAAAAAAAAAAAAAAAACGGGTACCATAAAAATAGGCTGTCGATTCCTTTAAACTTGAATGCATTGACATTGGGCCCATTGGCGCTTTGGCTGGGTATCTAAAATGTTTGTTCAAGTGTATAGTTTGTTGAACTGAACGTTCATTCAAGTGGTATTTTACCGTACATAGTAAATACGGAACTAAGCCTTAAATTGGACAAACACGAAACTGCCCTTAGTATGGCAAATATGGAACTGAGTCTTGAATTCCCGACACAGAGCTTTGTGCTGTACTTTGCTGCGATGTAGGGTGCTTCTGAAGCAGCCCACACATTGCTGCAGTATTGTCACATAGGCTTCGCTTCCCCACGATTGTTGCAGAAGTGAATGTCACCAACGATGGGCCTGCCATACTGGACTCGACCATCACGTTTCGGGCGCAGTTGATTGGTGCGGACTACCCCGAGCTCTACTATGTCTTCCAACACAACGTGCCGTCGGGCGGAGGACCCGTTACGGTCACCAATAGTACCGAAGGCCACGGCTGCGCATTGCCTTCCTCGCCTACAGGCATCAGCCGGGCGAGTATGTCATGACGGTCACCGTGCTAAAGCAGTACTTATTCTCAAAGCACAAGATTGCCGAGGGTTCCTGCAAGTTTCTGCTTACCCGTGAGTATGTCGCGGCGACGTGGAAAAATCACAGGGTTAAAATTGACTCGTGTGCTGTAACCTAAAGATTTACTGACACCAATTTTCAGTGATTACTCTGTTATACAAATCTCCTGTATACCGAAAAGGCTCCGAGCAAGGGTGAAACATAGTAATTGCTGATGAGATACATCTTATTCTAATATTAATGTCAACTTTTGCATGGTGTGCCCACTGACATCGACACTAGCATAGGTGTCAGGCCATGGTGTCAATTCTGGTGACTTCCCGAACCCGTATGGTTGCTTGTAGTGATGTCGGGTATCAAAACATAGAATAAGGACACTTGTGCATCAACAATGGAGCAGAGCGACCGTGGAAACATCTTGGCGCCTAGCATGAGCAGTTTGACACGAAGCTCATATCATTTTGTTATGTCAGGATACAGTACTGAACCAGAACTATCTTTTAAGACGTTTAAATTAATTTTTCAATGGTGCACTTACACTTTCCAGTACATTTTCTAGTCTCTTTAGGACTTGGCCTTTTTTTTGTGTGTGTAAAAAAAAGATACATTTTTTCAGTACACTTTTAACAGATAATTTGATCAGTCTAATTGGTAATAATCATTATATGTAGTGCAAAGCTTTGCTAAGGACAGATACAAAAAAACACTAGCCAGAAGCGGTTGTTTCAATTGAAAGTTTGTTTCCAGCATATGGGCTTACATTTTCTATCTCTGTTTTCTTGTACATACATTTGTATGCACATTGTGCAGTAAATGTTCAGTTTAAACACTTGTGGCTTGTCCTTTCTTTAGTTGTACATAGTAAGTTTTGCACTAGCTGCAAGGACGCTCATTGTGGTAGTTTACGCTCAGCTGTAGCACTGCCAGTGCAAAGGGAATGAGTTCGATACCACGCCACTGCAGCTGTATCTTAGTGGAGGTGAAATGCACGTACTACTCTTGTGTGCGTGCATCATTGAAAAACTCCAGGTGGTCAAAATTGCCGTGAAATTCTGCGCAAGTGCCCCCTTTCTCCTGAAAGATGACACGTTCGGAGGTAATACATTTTGAAGCTATCCTCGTGCGATATTTCATGAGTTAAAAGGAACGAGGGTAAAGGCGTTCTTGTTAGGACAACTTGTGACTACCCAGAATGCAACTCTGAGGCACCGAATCGTAAAGACACTGGGAAAACGTGCACATGTACATGTGAATTAGTACTGTTGGAAAGACCAATTTTTCCTCTATCGTTACTCTACACTTTAGCGTCAATGAATATCTGTTGTAGGGAAAAGAATATTGTTTTTGATCTGCCCAAAAAATAAAAGATTTGTGTAAATGAGTTCTGCGAAAGCCCGCAGGGTGGCGAAAGGGTTAAGAAAGGGGAAAAAACAAAACAACCACCTGTTTTGTAACGCAAAGCCACAAGAAAAATCTGTGGCGGAAGGGCCAAGAAAGGGAAAGAGGACAACCACCCGTTTCGTAGCGGAAAGCATCAAGGAAATCCATACGGATTTTAATCTGCCTTTTTTTGGCAACTAAGGGACTTTTCTTACTGAGAAATCCGTATGGGTTTTTTTGTAGGTTCGTATTACAAAACGGGTGGTTGTGTTCTTTCCCTTTCTTAAAAACAGATTTGTCTGGGATCACAGAAGTGCTATTGTTACTAGATCTCAAAAGAGTAACCCTGTGTCCTCTGCTACAGCATCTATTTTGTTTGTCCTGGTACCTTTAAAGCCAAGGAGAGATTACCTAAGGGGCATTACAATGAAGGGGGCAAACAATACTTTAAATACACAACTATACTAGAAAATAGCAATTGTAGCAAGAACTAGCAAACATGACTTGCAACAAAATGCAGTCAATACAATAACAAGTTTAAAGGTTTCCAATATGCTTAGAGCACCTAACCTCCATAGGCCGTATCACGTCTAAACGATTAGAATCAATGTGGGAAAACTTGACATTTTTTAGGTGCAGATTGTTGAACTTTAGAACAAATTACGTAATGAGTTAGTCCATTGAGAAAGCAATTAAGTGCAACAGCAGGGTGTTCATTTTTTTCATTCTTAAAATTGAATCGAATGGACCACTTCATCCACGCGCCTTGCTGCTTCTGTGGCAGGGGACATCGTCGGAAGAATTGTGGTGTCCCAGAACAACCACACGCTGCAGGACGACCAAACCATCGTGTCCACGAACCGGACGACAAACTTCACTTTCGAGCTGCACGATCCCAGTGGCTTCTTTACCAACTCGTCTGACAGCTTGTCTTGGAAGGTGAGCACCAATGCGAAGCCACGAAAATATCAAGGGATCAATTAAGTGTGCTACGTGCTCGAGTATATTCAGAAGTACCCACTAACTCGGTCGATGCGTTTTGCCAGACTCGAGGGTAGGTTTTAGGCAAAGAAATCGGGCTGTTTTAGAATAGAATAGAATGTTTTAGAAAAGGGCTGTTTAGAATTTTAGTACATCGAGATGGCGTTCATTGGTTCGGATATGCTATTTGCGTCATGTAACGGCTGTACAGGAGGCGAAAGCGCATGTGCTGGGGCGACAGGCGCTCATGCAAAGCTTTGCGTACCATAATCTGTAACTTCCTATTGTTTGTCTTAACGGAACACTAATGTTTTACTGTGTCAAAATTAGCCTCAGTGGTTATAGTAGTTATAGTGGTTATAGTACTCAGTGGTTATAGTGGTTGTAGTACTCTGCTACTGACCCGAAAGTCGCAGGTTTGACTATTTAGCTGCATTTGCTGCGTCCAAATTCTGACCAAATGTTCGAGCTGTATGTTTCCTGGCTAATGCATTTCTTTTTTTAAGTTAGCATGAAAGATTGAACAAAAAGTTATACTACCGTAAAATGTCCAGCAAGTGCGTGCCCCCCCCCCCCCACATCTACGGTGAAAGACAATCCGACCAGAGCGAGGGAGGCACTTGCTCGGTATTTTACTGTATATTAATGAAATCGACTTTCTGCTGAGTCTCCCTTTAAAAAGAGCCTGTGGTTTTAACTAACAAGTTCTACTTAGATAGACTCCATACGCACACCACTGGAAGCATTTCTATTTTGACACCGGAAGGAGAGCGTTTTGTGCTTGCGTTTTTTCTTTAGCTACCGCGGTAGTCTTGTGGCTATGGTGTTCGACTAAAACCCGAAGACAGCCTGACCGAATCAAAGTCACGGTGGCCTTGTTTCTAACGGATTGAAATCCTAGAGGCCCATGCGGTTAGCTGCACGTTGAAGAACCTTAGGTGATCAAAGTTACCGAAGCCCTCCGTGACGGCGTGCCTTGTAATCGTGTACGTGGTTTTGGGGCATCAAGGACAAACAATTATTATATGCTGCACTGTAACATGTGCGAGTGATTAACCAGACAATGGTTAGAAAACTTTGAATGATTGGCAAGAAAAGCATCCGCACGTGTTTGCATATGCACTGCAAAAATTTGACACATCTGAGCTAGTCGAGAAAAAAAAAATTCTTCTGGTTGTACGCTTTATATAACGGTTAGAATGAATGTGTCTGTAATACTAAAACATAGTTATAACCTATAATTTAAGGTATACGTAGGGATGGCTTCTGAGAACTTTCTAATACCTGCTACAATTTAATAAATACCATGGTAATTATAATTTAAAAAATGTAAAACCCCAACAGTTTTCATGTTTACTTTCGTTTCAGCTGGATTACGGCCTTTCCCATTATGCTCCCTACTACACCATAAACTTCACTGACACGAACGTCCACACCGTGAACCTCATCGTGGTAGCACTTGTAACCCGGCCGAGCTCGACATCTCCGCAGGTCAAGCTCGGCTCCTTCACGCGCACCATCGCCCCCAAAGGTGGGTTCCCGACACGAGTTCTCACGACACAGCTGGGGTTCTTGTTAATTGGGCATCATTAAAGGGGCCCAGAAACACTTTTTCAAGTAACGATGTAATGAATTCACAGGAAGAGCTTATTGCCTCACAAATTTAACTCGCAAAAATTTTAAGAATTTGTCCACTGCCAGTGGAGATGCAAAGGTTTTTCGCATGCTGCAATTGCATTCTCTCTTCTCTTGTCCCGAAGAAAGCACTGGAAGCTAAGCAGGGAGGGATGTCAGGGCCACAGAAAAACATCACACCCGTTTCGTTACCTTGAGCACTTCTTTTCTTTCTTTTTTTCCATCGAATGCGCAACTTTTCCAGTGTGATCGCATGCACACGTGGACAAGTAAGGGTCTCGCATGGCGATCTCTGTAACAAGCGAGCGCGATGTTCAAATCAGCCAATGGCTGATGTATGGGTCGTTGACGTGTGATTTTTGGGCATATAACGTGATTTGTCGAGAAAATAGACAGCAATTTTTAGCTGACTTTGATAATTTATTGTGAATGCTAGGCGGCATGCTGTGCTATAAAATTTGGTTCGCGTGTTGTTGGGAGCCTCTCCTACTTATCGGCAGCACTTCTGACCACGCTCAAAAAGTGTTGCAGGTCCCCTTTAAGAATGGGAAGAGGTTATGGAGGTGCTGGCTGCAAACAGAAGGCAACAATGGGTGTCTTTGGGCCTATGCATGCTTGCGACTTGTGTTTCAATCTATCTGTGGGTCTCACCGAGTCAAAATAATTCTGTTGGCTGTCTCCGTGTTGTCACTGAAGGAACTGGAACGACCCCCTGTCCTGAGCCTACAAGAATTACATGTGTAATGAAATGACCCATATAACAAATATTCATGATGTTGCGGATATTGCAGTGTTCAACAACATGTCTGTACTTTCGTGTAACAAACGTTACCACAAATAAATGTTGGATGAAGTCAAGTAAACCAATGCTCTTACTGGTAACCTGTAGCATATCAAAATTCAAGCACAGCATATCAGGTGTGGAGGTAAGATGCTAGAGGCAGTATCAGTGCACGTTAATTAAATAATTCCATGTGAAGTTATCCTGAGCCCTCCACTACTCTGTGTTTAATAATCTTATAGTAGCTTTGGCATGTAAATCTCCACAATTTTTGTGTCATGTGGCTTCACTTAACCCTGCAACACTTTTTGAGCATGGCCAGAAAATGCTGCCGATCAGTAGCAGAGCCTCCCGTGAACACGCAAGCCAAATATTGTAGCGCAATCACGTGGACTGGAATTCGCAAATAATTCTCGAAGTCAGCTAAAAGTTGCATCCTCTTCCTTTGACAAATGACTGAAGAAGCTCGAAAATCATTCGTCACAGCTGTTTTATCAGCCATTGCCCGATTTGGTCATTGCAGGAACCACAGCGGGAGGCCGCGACTTGTCCAGGCACGCGTGCACGATCGCACTGAAAAGCTGCGGATTGAAAGAAAAAAAAAAAAAAAACGTACTTCAGGTCACGAGGCGTGTGCGACGCATTTTTTTTACCCTTACCATTCCTCCCTGCTTAGCTTCCAGCGCTTTCGTCGGGACGAGAGAAGGGAGAATGCAGTTCCAGTGTGCAACAAATCTTTGCCATTCCGCACGTACTGAACGGATTCTAAAAATTTTTTGTGCGGATGAATTCGTGCTGCAATAAGCCATTCCATGGCCACTTGAGGGAGTATTGCAGTGCCCCCTTTAAAATGTGGACTGCATGTACCTACTATATTAGTGTTTCCTTGTATTTTTTTGTGCTCATGTCTTTGGAAGCAGCATACGTCTGACTGGGTATCGCTTTTGGAAATGTGCAGTTCAACAAAATCATTGTTTCAATTTCTCCTTCCAGACCCTATAACAGGTGTCAACGTCCAAGGAAACATCTGGCTTCGCCGGGGTGACGTCGTCTCGCTTCAGGTGTCGTGTAATGGCAGGTATGTTAGTTAAGCCTGTCTGCAATGTCTTCAACATTTTCGTGCGTTCCAGCATGCTAACGGATTGATCAGCACCAAATAATCTTGAGTAAATTTGTTTACGCTCACTTGAGGTATTGTCCTAAAGTTCATGACATCAAACATGTCAGCTAGTCTTGAATCATTGGTTTGTGAGCCAATGATTCAAGACTGGTGGATGTTGTAAGAATGGCCTCAAAAGTTATGGTGGGTGGGCTACTATTCTCTAATAAACTCATTAGGGTTTAATATTTCTGCCTTGTGTTTTCTGGGTTCCTAATAGCTGTGTTCTTCATAACATCCTGATTGATCATAAGTAATTTTGCTTGATACATTAAGTTGGGTAATTGTCTAGTACTTCCTTTATTGTATTATTTTTCAAATCTTTCTGGCATGCATTAATAACACACGTGTCATGGTCCTCAATCCCTGTCCGCTCTCATCTTGTAATGCTTCCAAGTGCGACAGGGTCTGGGACGCTAGGCTCAAGTTCCCTCACGTTGCCATCTCAAAGATGCACTGTTGATTTGCGCGAGTTGGTGCATTATGATATCGTGCTTATCCTGTTGTCAGTGTTTCTCTTGTTCACACTCAGAAAGTGAGATGCGCTATTGCAATACGGTATCAAGGGTATAAGCTTCCTTCCATATACAGTGGGTGATGTTTGATGGCAGTAAAATGCCGCAACTCCTATGTATAGACGGGTTCACAGATAAAGGGAACACCTTTGTGCACACCATGTCTGGATTTCGCTCTCTGGCAGAGGCATATAATGGCTAATACCCCTGTCACACGGCCACCACCAAACTCCGTTGAATCCCGTCAACGTAAATCTCCCCTAGGGGGTTCGACGGAGAAGGAGTTGTGGCAGTGTCACACGGCAATAACAAGGTTGTAAAAGTTGCCGCGAGGGGGCTCAGCTGGCGCTGTTTGATTTTCGGAAAAGTATTTTAATTTGATCCCTATGGATTTTTTTGTGAATCCTCGTTATGCGCTTTTTACAAAAAAGCACTATTAAGTAGGTATGCGACTCACAAACCATTAAAAATAATTTCAAATAAAAACGCATTTGCTAAATGTAGCAATGCTGCTAGTGACGCTGGCCACATTGTGCTTTTAGTTGTTTTGTTGCTTGTGTACATGCCCGGTACGAAAGTTCTTATGCTTCCTTGCCTCGTGAGCGCACATTTTGTGTTCTTCAGCCATGAGTGACACAGCGGACGACGTGAGGAAGTGGTGCGATATTGCGCTGGTAATGACGTTGATCGGCTGGCGCCCGCCGGACCGACTCGCGAGGCACGGTGTGTAGGGCATCGGTGTAGAGAGTAAGTGAACTCTGGCGGGCGTAAATATTGTAAACAAACACGCGTTGTGAATGAGTACTACAACGAAAGAACGTTTAATATTGTTAAAATGTATTATTCTTTCACTGCGGCCACTTAGTGCTCGAAATTTTTCTGTGACCTCAAGACTGCTGAGGACGAGAGTACCTCGATTCGCTGCGAAGGGAGATCGTTGAACGTCCTTTGCGAAATGCTCCGTTCACCTTCGTTTGCGTAAGGGTGGCCGTGTGACACCGACCGCATCTTCGTTGTCGTAAAGACGAGGGAGTTAAACGGTCTTCACGGGTGCCCATGTGACAGGGGTATTAGATTTGTATAAGGTTACTGCTGGTTGACCATTCTGACTCTTTTCGATAGGCTAGTGCCATGCACGAGCAATGTTTCTAAGGCTACTTGTAGATATGAGAACCGCAATATGAGGGGTTCTCATCATAGTGTTCGCTTCAGCAGTGGACGGTACTGTACTTAGGCCTAAAAGGACACTTCAATGAAACAGTGAATCAGTTTCTACTTAAAAATTATACTCTGAAAACTTTTGTTAACTTCAGTGTCATATGATGTTTAATAGAAAACAAATGCAAGACCAAAGTTCCATTTTTAAATCTTCGCACTTGACATCACGGATTTCAAAATGCTTCGTTTGCATTTCGGCCCCACTGGCTCAAAGTTTTCTGACACTAAGTATGCCTTCTGAAACTTGGTGGGGCTCTGGTGCCCTCACAGCACAATGTACTTCATATTTCCCAATCTGAAACTGTGTAGGCCTCAGTTGGCTCCTTCGAAATCTATCGTGCAGTGGTGATGGAGGTGACTACTTCAAGATGATGTTGCCACCCGCACTTTATTTTTGTGCATGACATCTCGGCTAGTCTCAAATTGTTGGCTCGCCAACACCGCATTGCTGTTTTATAGATTGGTGGATGTTGTAAGAATGGCCTCAGAAATTAGGGTGGGAAGGCTACTATCTCTTATAAACACATTGTATTTAATATTTATCTAGCTTACCAAGTGTCTTCACACGACAAGCGTGGTGATCTCGGCATTGCGAAAGAGTAATTTACTAATGCGAAAAAATAAAAATAGTTTTTCTGTTTAGTCTAAGTGCATGTTAAACATCCCTTGAGGGTCGTAATTATTCCGAGGCCCTTCAACATTCATATGTCTCACAACTGCGTGGTTTTGGCATGTCAAAGGCCAGAGCTTAGCTTTCTTTGGTTTCCGCAGTGCCCCTTACAACTACTGCTGGAAGTACCTGCCGAGCAACGCGACAAGCAACTCGACGGCCAACCTGACCTGCGATGAGCCCATCTCGACCAACCAGTGCCAGTTCCCGCTGGTGCACTACTTCCCGCAGGATGGCTCGCACTTCATCGCCATCCTCGTGAGCAACATCGTCCAGGCAAAGCCTTACATCAAGAACATCGAAGTGCACATCTACGATGGTGAGCGCACGTTCTTTGCACATTGATTTATATCAATGTGCAAAGAACAATGATTTATATCAATGTGCAATGTGCTCGATTGGAAATATCTTATATCCATGAGTGTTCTTCTGTCTAAAAAACCTTCATGTATCAATGTGTCAAATATTGTCTAATGAATTGCCTGATACTGGGATTTTCTGGGGTTGTTCAGCGATCACATTTATTGTATATTAGTTATCCTAATGGTCTGAGGGGAAGTGTAGTACACATACCAAAATTCAGTGCAGTGGTGAAGGGCAAAAAAAAATATTTTGATGTGTTTTTGAAAACATTGAAAAGCTGTTACAAAAACAAATTTTATAATTTTATAAAGAAGCATAACAGAAGCTAATAAGGCTTGATGTTAGCATCGTGTAACAGTAGCTAAGTAAATAAATTAAGGCATGTTATTCAGTGTAATAAATAAATACATTGAAGGTCATGTGCAATCTGAGACAGATATACAAAGACACTTTGACGTTAAGATGAAAAATGATTAACAGCAAGGACTGAAGGGGAATACAAACAAAGGTTGAAGTTTGGGAAAAAAAGTCACAGCTTTGATGCACAGGTGGAGCAACAACGCGATAGCCACAAATTGGAAGGTCACGCGAAGAATGGCAAGCAGATGAAAACGTGCCCCGCGTTTCTCAGGCACAAATGACGCACGAAACTTACTCACAGGTACAGATGAACGGGAATAAGCATCTCAGTTGTTACTTTGCTGTGTCTGAAAAGCGCGCCATTTTCGCGAATGGAGACTGTGCAAGGAGGGCAGTGACCTTTGTGCACCCGGTAACTACAGCACAATTGCTCCGGTGAAAGCCCAAGTCGTACGATTGTCCCCATCGCGAGATAAGCCCCTCTCTGTGGGGCAAAGTACGTGTGGGAGTTGAGAGCGCGTGATTCCGCGTCGTGACGATGTGACGACGCGCGCTCATTGGGCCATCTCGCTGGTAATGCTGAAAACGCGATAGTTCTCCCCCGAGATGCCCATCACCAGTGGTAAGTATCTTGCAGTTTGAACGTTGAAGGAGGTACCAAGAGTACGTGAGATCTTATCAGGCAGCTTTACACCGACGTGCTTGCCTAGGTAACCTTTGTAGGCAGGCACTAACACGTGGTAACTTGCCGCATGCATATTTTGCCGCTAGCATGGCCGTATTTTAAAACCCCAGTGATCTTGTGCACTTTTATTAATGGCGATGTTTCATTACGCGACGATGAATATGCCTTGTTATGAGTGGCCTTATGACTAGTACTGCCTTTGTTTTTATGCCAATGACTTTGATACAATGCATGTTTGCATTTTGGAAGTGTTGTTTGGTTCTGCTTTACTTAGCTTGGTGGCTGGTGACTTATTGTTCCTGTAGTTCAGCTTTGCTTCTGCCCAATGGTCTGGCATTGCTTGATGCAGTGCACTTCTCCCTTCTTTTTGTTGTAGGTGGGCTTTGTAGTCCTTGCTTCCTGGTAGTCTGTATTTCCTGTCAGCATTTGTAGTGCTTGGTGTCGGTGCGTGTATCCTATGCAATTCAGCAATTCGCTTTGCTTTGGCATTTTTAATATGCTTAAAGCCATGAGGTAGGCTTCCGTTTGCCCCTTCTTTTCTGTGCCCGGAACTGGTCTCTACATTTGCTTGAAATGCTTGTTTGCTACTGTTTTGTTGCATCCATTGAGGCACATATGCAACTTTCACTTCCCCCTCCTCAGTTTTTATGAAGCTGGCTAACATCTTAGTTTCATTAACAGTGAACACTATGGCATGCTCATTTTCCTTCGCATTCGCCGCTTCTGTTTGTTGGTGGACTGCCCGTTTCTGCCCATCATGATTGTCGGTGCTTGAAGCGTCAAAGTCGGTCGTGGTATCCGCGCAACGCCTGTCTTGTTCACATCGACTTAGCTGTGGTTTCATTTTATGCTCGATGTCGTGCCTCATTCACGTTGACAGCGGTTTCACTTTAAGCTCGTTTGCCATCTACACTCCGTCGAGGAGTCGTAGTGGTGCAGGTGCCTCGAAAAAGACCGATCGGTTGGCTGGACCTCGTGTCCGTGTCTCTTCCCTCCTTTCTCTCGCACTGTCGCAGTCCCACGGAGTGGCCTACTCTCCACCATCATCCTGCCAATCGTGTGCTCGCTCCTGGCGTTCGTCATCCTGGTCACGGGCATAGCGTACCACATCCACACGCGCAACCGGCTTCAAGTCGAGGTTGCCGACTTTGACTTCCAACGGCCGGACCTGGAGCTCACGGAAAAGACCTTCTGGGAGCACCTGCTTGGCGCTTGGAGGGATGCATTCCCGAACTGGAGCAAGCAGTCCCACCACGATGTTGACAGCGCTGGTGAGGGAGACAGCCTGACGGCACCCGAGAACAATCGTCACCACAGCGACGAGGAAAAGAAGTCGCCCGAAACCCCTCCGCCAAGAGGTCCTGGCGATGGAACGGATGCTGCACTTGCCGAGAAGAGTGGTGTGGATTCTTCTGTTTGGAGAACGGGCCAAGTAGAGAGATAACGAGTGTGCTATGCTGCGGAAGATGAGTGCGATGCGCAACAGCTGTGTGGTGTACTACCGTCTCCTGTGACCAGCAGGTTTGCTAGCTGTTATTGAACGATATGATCGGTTGTGTCGGGACTGCAGTGGTACAGTTTTAGTGACTCTTTTTATGCATTGGTGACTGAAGTGAGAGCAGTGCCTGGAGCAGTCAGTTTTGGTAAGGGGCTGCGTGGTGATGGTTTTATGCCAGTGCTGAATTCTTTACGTGAAAACACGTGAAGAACGGATGTCCACTGATGATTTTTGCGTAGGTAGTGTGTTTGTCATGGTGGGCTGCACAGCTCTAGGACGTCTGATGCCTTGGTTGCGAGAAAGGGCTCAGTAGTATTAATGAGATGGAAGCTCAGATTAATGGAATGCAATGTGGATCTGATAGATTCATCTTACCTGTCTATACCTTGCTCTTGCTAGGCTGGCATCTGAAAGCATCCTTTACTTCGCTATTGAGATCTCGTTGTGCCATTGGCAATGCTGTGGCTGCACAAATATGATGATAATATAATAATAATATAAGTTCAATCAATTTCAAGTCACAGTGGGCAGAAGTAGAGTTTAGCTTGTTTGGGTATAGAACATGTCTGAAGTTTTGGGTGAAAGACGATATATTGCAATGCGTCGCATTGGGCAGATTGTGGGACAGTGATTGCCACTCTGTTTTTGTTGTACAGTGCCAACAAATAATTGTTGGCACCAGATGGTGCCAACAATTATGGTGCACCAAATAATTGGCTTATCCGAAACATTCTTTGAAGAAACTGATTTCAAACAACACTTACTTCTAAGGTCTAGTGCTAGATTATTGAGACGTATATACGTTTGCCTCCTTAATCCACTTGACGTATTGTATACACCTATGGCTCGGGCCTTTTTGTCTTTGCTAACCTTGTGGACTGCAAAACTGATGGGTTCTAGCTTAAGCCTCATCATTGTGCCAAATCTATGGTACGGCGTTCTCGAACAAGTGTAAATTTCCTAGTACTAGGCCTTGCACCTGTTATCACTGATAAGCTATACAAGTATTAGTGGGTCTTACCTCTCCGTAATTATTACTGAAGGAGATTGTTTTTGCTTGCCCTAAGCGAAAGTTTGTGGAACCTGTAAACTGCAGGGCGAAATTGCAATTCTCTGTTATGGACATAACGGTTGCAGAGGTATCTTTTATGGTTTTTTGGCTGAATGATTTCGTGTCCACTTTAATGATGTGCTGCCCTCTACGTTTGGTGAAAATGCACTTATTTTCGTTGCGGGAATGAAGGTGGGATCGATTTCAGGAGACGTCATTGCTTTTGTTCGTATGTTGCTGGGATGCATCAAGTAAGGCAGAATGATGGTTTATGGTGTTTTCTTAAAGTGTATATGGAATATCTTGGGACTTATGTTGTGATTAGCATGTTGCAGCAGTTTTCGGAAAAAGCAGTGATTTTGGCAAGGAAGAAATTAAGCTGGATGTAGTAGTTGGGTATGCTGATCCAGCATGCCTGCTTGTCGCAGCAAATCGCTACTGACGTATATTTGGTGACAACATAGCAGCGTTTTGTCTGCTGGAGTCTGCTCTCCAGTCGTATTTATAAATCTACATTTTAGCTCGTGCTCTTAGGTGATGGTACCTGTTTATGTGAAAGCCCAAAGCTGGTGAGAGCACGTCCTTGGTGTCGCGTGACTTTGCATAGTTTTATCAGTGCCTGTGGCACATGACTTAAGCATCTGGGAATCGACTGTTTTGGAAAGAATGACTGTGGCAGATCAAATGTAAGTGCAGCTATTGCCGCAGGGTTATACTTAAAATGATGTTAATGTTGTTCGGGATATAAACTTTCCTCAGGACTTATGTCATTGACAGTCTTCTACTCTTTAGTGAAAACAGCTAGTTCCTTTGTTAAGTTTTTTTAGCCTGCAGCAAATGGGCAGAGCTCTAGGACGTGCAGGTTGACCTGCGCTATTGGGTAACTGTCGTGCATAAAAACTCAAATTGCATTTTTCACATGAATAGTAAAGGTTTGCTTGCCAACAGATCTTTAAGAATTGTAGTTCACAGTTACATACGAGCCTGTGTATACATACCAGCTTCTATATTTTGATAGATGCGAGCAACGACCTAAAAAACTAAAATGCAGACATACCATATTCTTAATGTTAGCATTGGTGTCCTTGGCATCTGTGCTGCGGGGAATTTTCTTGGTGCTCAAAATGAACCCATACTGAGCGTGTTGCCCTGAAAGTGTTAAACGAGAATGAAGATGCCTTTATGTGGTTTCAACGCATTGTTGCTTTGTTTCCAGTGCAATCATCTATACCCGTATACAACTCAAAGGGTCCCTGAAACACTTTTTTGAGTAACCATGTAATTAATTCACTGGAAAAGCATATTACTTCACAAATTAAACGCCGCAAGAATTTTAAGTATCCGTCCAGTACGAACGGAGTTACGAAGATTTGTCACACATTCTCTCTTCTCTCGTCCCTTCAAAAGTGCTGGAAGCTAAGCAGGGAGTGATGCAAGGGGCAAACAAAAAACGTGACTTGCGCCTCGGGGTCTTGAGCATTTTTACAATTTTTTTCTCTTCGAATGCGTAGCTTTTTCACTGCGATCGCGGGCGCACGCGTGGACAAGTGACAGCCTTTTGCGGCGACCTATGTAATAACCGAGCGCGCCATTTTCAAATCAGCCAATAGTTGATGGGCTTACTGGGCTTATTTTCCGTGATTTGTTGAGAGAAGAGAAAGTTATTTTTAGCTGACTTTGATAATTTATTGACAATTCCAGGCTGCGTGCTGCACTATAACACTAGGCTCACGTGTTGTTGGGAGCCACTACTACCGATCAGTCACGTTTTTCTGACCATGCTCAAAAAGTGTTGCAGGGCCCCTTCAAGAAGTCTTGAAAAGCACCGCCAGCACGAGTGAAGCTGATAGACGTTCTCTTTTGGGACCTAAGAAATACACTCAAGCCTTGATATAACGAACCCGGATATAACAAAATATTTGTTATAATAAAGTAAATGAAAAATAGTGTTGCAATAGATATAGTGTTAGAAATAAACATTTAAAACGAATTCTCGGGTATAATGAACTTATTTCCCTGTAAAATACAACTGTTATAATGAGGTCCGAGCGTAGTCTCGTCAATGTGCTGGGCAGTGTTGTCCGAAGTTGGGGTCACAGGCTGTCCAGCTCGTGATGTCGGTCTGCAGTGCACGCCCGTAGGTGCAGCCTCTTATGCGGCTGCATTTGAGGAACAAAATTCCGCCAACTTCTTAAGTTCTATTCAATTATAGAAGCGGATTAGTACTTGCTTGCGGAATTCGGTCTTGGAAGGTGTGAGGTGGTTCTCTTAACTTTCAGAGTTCATGAACACTGCTTCCCGAGAACAAGGTTGCCAAGCATGATACGTATATTCATTTACCTGGTCGACGGTAAGAACGTCATGTTAACGCATGTTGTTATGATTGTCAGTTTGCAGCTTTGGTCATTGCTGACCACTTTGCTCAATCAGGAGCTATTGCAGGTAATTGAACTGTGTAAACAGGAAACACAGATGTGGGTTCGATAAAAATGATGCACTGATACACACATACTGATACGCTTTTAATAAGAATTGCTAATCATCTCTGATCCTTAGGCACCAATATATCGGTATGTAGCTTTGTGGCTATCATGGGCAACGCAGACTTGGACTATCAAACGAGAGGTCGCGCTAAAGGAAAGGTTGGCACAAAACTTGTTTGTTCATGCAGCTGATAGTTGGTGTTTTTTATTGTCTGTTTCTCATTTCATATCTGTTCACATGCCTTCATTTCTTTTTCTACAATGGCAGTGAACAATCACTTTGTCGGTACCTTCTGGTGCAAAATAAAAATTCTGAATGTTTTTGGTTCATTCATTGACTTCTGAGAAAACAACCATGCAGCGAGAAAGTTTCCAGTGAGCTGTAGTTTAATAGGGCTCCGCAAGATGGCGCCACCAATGTTGCGATTACCATCGACGTAGATAGTCAAGTGTTGCATAACCTCTGATGCTCACAGAGGAGCAAAAAAATGTGTAGTGTTCTACTATATAAAAGTACTGATTGTCGAATTTTCAGAGTATCGGAAGCTTCAGTGACTGCATATCCATAGAACTGATGTCATAATAATGGGGTTTGGTTAACTAGTGATTAAAACCGCTGCTCTCACAAATTCGCTCATTTCTGATAGCTTCATTACCCGTCAGTTCGAGAGTTGTGTTCAGTGCATTGATCATTATCTTTCCAGTGCTTTTTATTGAGGCAAGACCTTCGATAAGTTTTGGAGGATTCAATTTATGTAGTGCTAACACCAAGAGTTAACCCTAAGTGCTTATGTTTTGTGTGTATGTACATGCGACACTGTTCTTGCTAACAAGGGCCAGCTACTTGTCGGGTTGGACTTAGCTTTGAGAATACAAGTGGTTCTAGACTTTTTTTTTTATTTGCGACCATCATGGACTGCACAACTTGAACGCCTTTGCAATGACTTTAGTAAGGAGTGGAGTGAATGAGACTGTAATGCATGTGTGACTTTTTCAATATAAACCTACGCTGGAAGAGCTTTACTTGTGATAGCATATCGACATCAGAGAGGACCTAGTGTGTGCGTGTGTGCCTATATTACAATGATATATATATACCTTTGGATTTAATTGTCCTCTGTGTGTTTGCGCAACATCTAAGCATCCCTCACAGGGATTTTGCTGTTCCTTCATATTTAAGAGGCCTAGTCTTACTGAAGAGTGGTTTTACTTTCTTCGCCAATAAAGACATACCTAGGTGATTAATGGTTGTTTGCATTTTCATTGCTTTGTGCAGGACACAAAGGTGCCATGAATATCAAAGTTCAAGCACCGTGCTTGGTGGCGATTAACGAATTAAGCGTACACTCCAGCTACAGTATCGCAACTTTCTCATTGTGCTTTTGAGTTTCGTACAGTGCTGACTGAGGTACGCTGATAGCCAGGCCTCGTTACGAAAAAGGTGACCTGATACAAAAACAACTTTGTTGCATCCAAAAATTCATGAGCACTACTAAAAGGGCTCTGCAGCACTTCTCACGGTGTAGCTACCGAGGCAGCCACACCACTCATACGTGTGCCAGCAATCACGTTGAAAACAAGCGGTGTGTTTCAAGAAAAGGAATTTTTAAAAGATCCTCAAGGTCGGGACGCGTGTGTGATACAACTCTTTTCCCCCTTTTCAAATCTCTCTGCTTAGCTTCTAGTGCACTCGTCTGGACGAGATACGAGAGAATGCAGTTATAGCATGAAACAAATCTGTAATGCCGCTCGTACTTCTCTAAAATATTGTGGCAGTTGATTTATGTTGCAACGAACTCCTTTAAAGAAGCCATTTGATGTTTACTTGAAAAAGTGTTGCAGGACCCCTCTGACGACAAGATTTTCATTTGCATTGTTATAACCAACAATTTACTATGTTTCCTACAAATGATTCTTTGTTTTATCAAGGTTTGATTAATTAAAGCACACCAACAGAATATGTCTGAGAAATAAAAAAATGAGCACAAGTTTCTTTGAGGTGGGCAGTAGTGTACTCGGCAGTGCTTTCTTAGGTTGCTTAGATTGTGGAACAATATTGCCATTTGGGTCAAATTGTGCCCAGATCGATTCTTTGCAATATCTCGTTCCAAAATGGCCTTTTAG